TAGCAGCTTTTTTCTTTTGCTGCATGTCATCCAACCAATCAATCAATATATATATATATATATATATATATATTATAAAATGCAAGTTGCAGTGAATAAAGCAGAATTATGATCAATATTGGTACTAACTCATTTTCTACCAGCCTTTAGTTGCTCTGTGCTAAGCTTGTGTTGTTATTTTTATGCAAATACACAGAACTACTTTCAGCTCTATTCTACCGACAGGCTTGGTGTAAATAATTCATATGTGTAAGGTGTTGTATGTCTAATACAGGACTCGACAAAACCCAGATGCCATGGCAACTAGGAATTTTGTTGATGGTGAGGGAGAATGGACCCAACTGAGAAAAAGTGGATCAGGGCGAGTATTCTTTTTAGGGTTCATTTTTTAAAATGTTTATTTTTTATTATTACTGGTATTTATAAAGCACCAAACATATTTTGCAGCACTGTACAATTGGGAAAAAGACAATACAATAAGAACAGACCGATATAACAGGTAGAGGGCCCTGCCCGTGAGCTTACAATCTAAAGGTTAATGCATTTAACTGAAAAATAAACTACTTAGAATACAAACTTAAAGGAACACTATAGGTTAAAAAATACAAACATGTATTCCTGACCCTATAGTGTCTTAACCTCTTAACCCCTTAAGGGCCGCGGACATAGGTACATCCGACAAAAAACGGTCCTTAAGGACCGCGGACGTATCAGATACGTCCGCGGCTAATTAGAGCACTGGTACTGCAGCGATGCCTTGATGTCGAGGGATCATGCAATACACCCCCGACTGCCGGGCTCCTGAGTGATCGCCCCCCTGGAGCGATCACTTCCGGGTTTCTTCACGTGGAGCCCGGCAGTGAGGCCGAGCATCGGAAGCCTTTAGGCAGGCTTCCGATGCTCTGCCTGTGCTGAGTGCCTCGAGGGGTCGAGGCACTCAGTAAAGAGAATTAAAAAAAAAATAATAATAATATTTAAAAAAAAAAATTAATATTTTTTTTAAAAAAGGCTTCACCTCCAGGGCTAAGATAATCAATCTTAGCCAAGCAAATTATTTCCCATAGGAAAGCACTTGGAGTCTATAGTGCATGCGCAGGTATAATAAATGATAAAATACATAATATTTTTTGAAAAAGAGCACTCGATTTAAATAAAAAAAGAGGGAGGACAGAATCTCAAAAAGGAAAACATGCATTTGACTAGTTCTTAAATATTTTATGCTCAAATGTTTGCACTGCTTCCCCCAAAATAACAAAAACATCAATAACCAGCAGAAATTCCAAGAAATACTTTATGTTAAAAGGTCCTTCAAAAATAATCATCATTTATCCAAATCCTTTAAACAAGGAATGAAAAAACAAATCTCTGCTCAAGTAACGTTCAGCACTCTACGATGAAAGGAAATACATAGGGACTGCATAATAAGGGCAAAAATAAAATAAATGGTCAGGATCTTCACCTGCAATTCCAACTAAGTAATGCATCTTTTGGCTTGCCCATATGGGTTAGCATATTAAACTAAAACAAACTATCCTTTTAAAATAAAAATTAGTCAACATAAATTTCACATCAAAGAGGATTTGAAGATGAAACATAGCATTAAAAATGCAGGCAATGTGATAAAACATTTTTCAGTCTTTATTTAAAAGGTCTACCAATGCCTATTCCATCTAATTAGTAGCACTCTAGCACCACCTAGAGTAGGGGACCACAACGAGGCATTGAAATTGTTGAAATGAAACTTTTAATATTTGCCATGATTACGCGTGTAATATATTTCTATAACCTTTTTATTGCCAAGTATCTTCTTTTGTTTTACTCCGGTGCTTAAGAGATTTTAGCACATTATGTAAGTGGAAAAATATTTTTGGGTATTTTCTCACTGAGGCATTATTTACAAATCCTACACTGTTTTTTAGTCTATCTTGGTCTATACTTGATCTACTATCTTGTTTATTTTTTTTTTACTTACGTTTGTATTTGAAAAAAAAGTACATTTTTGTGGAAGTATGCAGCCAGGTATACACTGGGAGGTTTGAGAGAATAGGATGGTTAACGGCGTGGGGATGCTGATTCTGTATTGACAACATGAATCTTTCCAAACTTTTAGAATATCCAGAGGAAAATATTTCCAGGTAAGTAAAACAGGGAACACAAATATTCTGAGGTATAATAAGAAAGAGAACAATTATTATTTTTTTTGGGTGTTTAGCAGGGTTATTCACTAAAGCAAGAATTCAAAGTGAATTTCAATTTGCAGGTCAAAGTAGACAAACCGGAAGTATAGCTGACAGATAATTTTTCCAATTTGTCTCCTTCTGCTTAAAATTTTAAATTCACTTTGAATTCTCACTTTAGTCCATGACCCTGTGCATCCCATAAAATTAGAGACTTTGCATTTATTTTAACCCCACCATCTGCATTGTTATGTCTGCACCTTTTTGCATGAGTTTAACCCCTTAAGGACACATGACATGTGTGACATGTCATGATTCCCTTTTATTCCAGATGTTTGGTCCTTAAGGGGTTAATAATGTGGGTAGATATATATGATAAACCATGCTCATTTTTTTCATTCAGTCACATAAATACAGTGGCTATAGCACTCGCAATTTGCTGGATAAAAATGCTATTACAATGTTATGGCTCCTTACACATATATTGACCTAAGTTCATCTTAAAACCAGTACTTTACTATGCCCTAAGTCTTATCCGCTACACAGCACAGACAGTTGAGCCAGCAGATCCCAGCCTGCAGACAGGCTAAAGATCAGGTAAGTGAGGAGAGATGGGGGTTAACAAGGAGAGATAGATTTGGGAGTTGACATTATGAGAGAGGCACAGATGGGCGTTAACATGTGGAGAGACACAGATGGGGGTTAACAGATCGAGAGACACAGATGGGAGTTAGAAGGTGGAGAGACACAGATGGGATTAACAGGTGGAGAGAAAAATATGGGGGTAACAAGGAGAGAGTTTGGGGTTTATAGGATGAGAGAAACACAGATGGAGGTTAACAGGCAGAGAGAGTTTGGGGTTAATAGGATGAGAGAAACACAGATGGGGGTTAACAGGCAGAGAGACATAGATGGAGGTTACCAGGTGGAGAAACAAAGATACAGGTTTGTACAGGAGAAGAAACACAGATTAACCCCTTAAGGACCAAACTCCTGGAATAAAAGGGAGTCATGACATGTCACACACGTCATGTGTCCTTAAGGGGTTAAGGTTGCCAGAGGAGAAGAGAAACACATGGGGTTTTATAAAGGAGGAGAGATGCAGTTGAGTATAGGGAGGTGAGATGAAGATAGAATGAGGAGGGTAGTAAACTGTGGACACATAAAATAAGAGGAGTTGAACAATAACACTCTCTAACATACAATACTAAATTAAAGGAAAACTCTGTTGATTTTTTGTTCACTATTTAATAGCTGTACCTCCACACACAAACATAAATCATGTATTTTTTCTGCACAGCTGCAGATTTGCTGTCTGTAGACTTTGCAAGCCATTCTCTCTTTCCCACACAGATCTGGGGAATACTTTAGTTAGAGGCTTCTTAAGGGAGGAAGGAGGGAAGGAAAACACCCCATGTCGACCTAAAGTAAGCATAAAAAAACATCCTAGCTGTGTGAGTGCCAGCTGGGAGATGTTTTAGTGCCCCCTTTGTTTTTATTGAAATTGGAAACATTTTTTTTATTTATTAAATGACAAACTCCAGACATAATGCACTTTGTTAAGCTGAATTGCCCTATGTGTCTTTAGTGTGCCTATAACATGCCTAATACAATTTTCCCATACCCATAAATACTTACATGCATTCACACAAAGCAACATCAAAAACAAATTGCATACTGGTAAGTAGGCATACTGGAACTATAGCAGAACTGAAGAATTTTTCCAAATCCACTACTTTGGCCTTAACTTTGTAGTTTGGTTTTCAATTCTCTGCACTAAATTTTTTATTTTAGGTTTAGGGGATAAACTACATAGGTTTATTGATTAAACTGTGAAATGTAGTGAATTCAAATATTAATTGTAAATTATAGACTAAATTAATTGATTTGATAAATATCTCCAGTTCAGCCTAGGCACAGGTTGGCTATTTTAACCTACAATTTGCAATTCGGATTGTTATTCATTACAATCTGGTGATTTGTGAATAAACTTGTATATTTGTATAAGCTGTCTATGATGCAGACAGGGATGTGATGGAGGCAGCCTGCTGCTGTGTCCATTCAGTGCGCACTCAGAAGAGCAGTCCAAAGTGCAGAGCAATGCCTCTATACAGCAGAATCAAACTGTAAAGTTTTATTGTGTGATCTCCAGCATTTTCCCCTTTTCAAATGTATTTTTTTTTTATTCTTATGTCATACTCCTATCCTGTCATGCATATTTAATTATTTTTGCAAATTAGCATGGCCGATTTTTACCAAAAACACATGGCAACCATGTTAATCGGGTTATCCACTAAAATGAAAACTGTCAGGAATTTAGAGTACATTTCAAATTCAAAATAGTTGAACTGAAATCATAGACTTCAATTTGCAATTTAGTTTGAATATACTTTGAATTCCTGACAGTTTTCACTTTTGTAAGTGCATGTATGATTTTTTGTAAATTCTGAATTTTTAATTGAACAATTTCTAATATGACTTTTAAATATTAAAGTCTTTAAAGGTTAATTGTCTCATCTCTGGAAGTTGGAACATTGAATAAAACACTGAAAATCATCTATAATTTGTGTTGTTGTTTTTTGTTTTCAGGAAATTTTATTAAAAATTTAGCAAATAACTTCATAATCTAGTTCAGAGAAGACAAATATATATAGGGATAAGTTAACAAAATAATTAAAATCAATAGAAGTTACAGTTTCTCTTTAATTGAGTCTATTGTTGACTTCAGTTGTTTCATGTAATAATTCTATAACACTAAAATTTGACTTACATCTTAAAACAAATATAGCCACTGAATGCTACTTGAGATTTTCAAATTGTGACATTTGCATTTAACCCATTGATTTTATTTTGTTTTCCCACCTGTAATTCTTGAGTGTGGTGAACAGAACCTCAACACGGGCTCCTTGAGGAGCCGGCTTGCCGGCCTCCTGCCTCAGGACTATGGGCCCTGCAATATACCTTGCCCAATGTACTTTAAAAGGCTCTGTTCATGTGATTTATGTACTTTCGTACTCCAGAAAGAGAGACTGACCGTTAGCCCTGATTCCCTGGAACTGTTTTGGGCATGGGACCATTTGCATGGTCGGTCAACATTATGACTTACATGGAAATCCGAACCTCTGAACCGATCTGGGAGATTTTTGGATATGTTGGTCCCCCAGATTAAGGCTATCAGGGAATGTAACTGGAGTTTCCATGTGTTTTGGGGTACTTTTGGGATATTGTTAAAATGTATGTTTTCTGTGCCTGGAGATAATTGAGTTTAGTTTAGTACAGTTCCTGACTCAATTACCTCTCAGGCACAGGGGAGCCAATGTGTCCTGGACATGAGAGCCATTGTCATTATGTGTATGTTTTACTGTAGTCTACTCTCAGGTCCAGAAGGGAAACCCCTTGCATGAAGAGTTGCATATAAGGCTGCATGTGGCTCCCATTAAAAGAGTTCTCCTTCACCCTCAACATAGAGCCTGATCTCATGCTTGGAGGGAACAGCTATATTCACTCTGGGGATTGCTATAATCACTATACTCTCTTGGATTATAATCACTAGCTCTTGTAAGAGCAATCCTGCTATACTCTCTGGAGTAGGAGAGGTTTACCCACTGGAAGCTGGATCCCGGGTGGGTGGAGGATAAAGAGCTCATTAGCTCAGTGCTAGGAGTAACTGAGAAATACTGAGTGGATGCACTGTATGTGGAATTAGAAAGGTGTCCCATTCTTTCATGCTAACCAATATGATACAATATTTCCAACTTCCATTCCCAACTTTCTATATTTTGAAGTGTACAGAATTAGGTTATGCTTTGAAAAAAGCCACCACTGTTGGTCTTGATCTGAATTTGAACACACTTGGTTTATAATTGTCACGATACCTGTTCCTCGTGGCACCATGTGATAATAGAAATTATGTCTCTTCTGTGCTCTGATACACACCCACTCATCTCTAGCTTCCTGGTGCCTCATTATGACATCATATATGACATAAAAGCCTTCCATTGGTCTCTTTTTGTAAAGTCACTTTATGTGGCACATTTTGATGATGTATACACGCATCATGGCCCTCTGTAAAAAATCACAACCCAGTATAGGGTATATATACTTCTTGATTGTCTTTGTTCCCTTTCCCTGTCATGGTTCTTGTTACTTGCAAGAATGTTTACACTATGTATTGGATTTACTGTTTTCTGGCCTCGGCTTGTTTGACTGTTTTTGCGCTCTGTTATCCCACCCTTGGCCTGTCTTGAATCTGTGTATTGCTGTTATCGTAGACCTCGGCCTGTCTCTAATTTATTCTCTGCCTGCTTGCAGACATTTCATTTATTTGTCTTAAGCACTAGTCTGGCCACTATAAGGACCGGTACATGTTTCCTTTAGGTATGCATGTTAGGAATGGTATCTCCATGTCTGACAATCTGTGATAGGGCCATTAGTTACTGTCAGTAGATTTGCTTTTCTGGGCATGATATTAGTACAGTGGACTCCTTGCCTTTTTACTTTAATAAACCACAAATGTGCAGACATATATTTTTTTAGGAATTCTAAGAATAATAAACGGGATAGTATATTTACCTTAGTTTAAATTTAATATACTGGTCTTTGATTGAAACACACAAAAATAAATACAAAAAAGTCTTAATTTTCATACCTGCTCTTTAATAATGTGCCAGATGTATCACTTATGTATATTCCATTTGGAATAATGTAATTTTAAACAACAAGAGTCAACTCTTTAAAATGAATGGTCCAGCATTCGTACATAGGCTTAACAATGGTGCTTTATTGCAACTGACTTGACCAGTTCATAATGTATGGATCAGAATTCTTAACAACGGTGAGAATTGTTTCCACTCCTAAGCTAGGTTTACAGGTGCAGCATAACCAGCAACAGGGCGAGTCATTCACTTTGCAGTATGTACTGTAAAAATAAGTACATTAAAGTACAGTACTGAAATCAACAGAAGTGAAATGGAATAACCATACAATTGCAACCAAAACTATATTCTGTTATCCATATAATATATCGGAGTAATCGTATCACTGTCATATAATAGATGAAATAGTGCCAAATTATAGCTAAAGACACACGTCTTCTATTTTCCACCTACAGTCTGAGGAATTAAGAATTCTTCCGATGTTCAGGGAAACATTAAAACATTCTTGAAAAGTGTTTTAACTTTAAATCCAGAAGAGATATGTAATTGAATAGCTTCTCCTATGTTTTTTTCTTCATCCCACACATCAAACTCAGATGCTTTGGCAGAGATTAAATTCAGTTATTTAAAATTGTTCCGTACCCTGATGGTTGTTTTTTCTAAATTCAGAACCCCATAGTGTAAATGGATAATACTTTAGAATTGTATTGTAAGCCTTTGCTTTTTATGCATTTCCTTCTAAGATCATGGAACATTAAAAGTTACCAAACCCAAAGTAACAGCCTTTTTGTTTCCTAAACAATAGTATCAAAATATCATTGCAACCTACCAACAAACATTGATCTCCATTTTACATTCTAATATTTTCCCCTTGAATACAAAATAATTCTCAGAATGTCAGTAGTGAAGGCCACTTGTTTGCAGTTTGGATAAATTAAAAATGCAGTAAAAAAAACAAGTTAAGAAATATGCGCATTTTCCAGAATGCATTGAGGTCAGAAAGTGCCGCCAAAATGCTACAACAAAATATTCAATATTTAAGAACAGTAACATTTTTTTGAAGCAAAAAAAAAACAAATAACAATAATAATAATAATAAAAAAAATTAAAAACAACTGCAACTTACCAGATTGTAAAATTAATGTAACATAATAATATTAATAATAATATTTCACAGGATTTTTTTCATGGGGAGTAAACATTGTAAGCAGTTATTGTCTGTTTGCTATGTTTGACAAGTAAACTTTTTCTCTCTTTTTTTCAGAACTCGGAAGCGTAGCAGTATTTTTTGACGTAGGAATGACTTTTTTAATTTAAGACAAAAAAATAATAAAAATCCACTCTGCTTTGCTTCTGATTAAAATTGTAACGTATATGTCATGTTTTATAGATTTAGACGTGGGCACACAGGGGGTGGACAGCAGGCAAATTCCCTCAGTATACTGCGGGCAACATCTACATTATTTTCAGCGATTTCAAGAGCCCTTTTAACTTCTTCAAATGAGAAACCTTCACCCATTAGTTTAGCGATTTTAGCATCTACATTCTCTGAACCATCAGCACTATATGGCCTCCTGAGGTGTATTTCAGGTGCTGTCCTGCGGGGAAGAGGCTTGGGTGGCCTTGCTGGTGCCTGGGAGCATTCTATAAAAGAATAAATGAAAAAGGAATTAAACTAGAAATCCTGTTGCAAAGAATATCTTCTACTGAATACTTTTCAAAGATAGTATATATGCCATTACATCTACATTATGTCCTAGCTAATACTTCTTTCCACAGTATGTATTATTGTAACACAGTTAAGCATTTTAGTTTGCTAATATGTTGTTACTACTACTGCATTAATATATAAATCCTATAATATGACCACACAAACATATTAAATATTCAATATAATTCCACAGCCCCAATTAAAATGATGCACTCATTCTAGGTTTCATTTGGGAATATGCACTTCCTCTCTAGAACAATGAATGTGGACCACTAATGCATGTGCCTTAAGACAGACTTCTGGTTTGCTACCGTGCAGACTTGTTTCTGCCTGAATATGTACACGGCTGATTTATATTTCAGGCACTTCATTGCAGTCCCAATGCTCAGAGAATGAGTCAAAGAGCTGCGATGCAGTTACCATGGCAAAGCTCTGACTCAATTACCGATTGTGAGACAGAAAGTGCATTTTATAACACACTAGCCCAAAGATGAGGTGAGCAACACCCCAGGACCACCAGACATAATAAAACTTGTTGCACAATCAAATTCAACAGCCTTCACACACATCTCACTCAACCAACCCTACACTGACTCAGTCAAAGACACACGTACATGTCACACTCAGCCAGCCCCCCACACACCGACTCAGGTGTATTGCTTATAGGGGAGAAAGGAGTGGTGACAAGAGGTGCCCTTCTTTGATTCTTTCCCAAGGGGCCTAGCAGTTCCTAGTTAGACTGCTGATTTCAGGGACCTGTAGGCAAAGAACTCCCAGACACTCCTACTTCATCCCAGAATTCATGTCTCTGTATGCTCCATGATTTAGAAGATGCACAATTCCTCCACACAAATAAATGTAGTTACTACATTTAAAATTAAAAAGCATATCACAATAAATCTAAGAAGAAAGATGAACCCTTGTGGTGAGAAGATGCAACTCTAATTGACAGACACGTCTATGTTTCTTTATAATTGTGTTTATAGGTATGATTTTTAACAGGGTGATCAGTTAAGAAGTACTTTACTCTCAATAACATATGTATACATTGTTTTAGCCATATTGCTATACAAATTTCACTAAATATTAAGAGTTTGTTTCTAATATTGTAGGTGACTATCTTGTGAACACAGTTAACAACATCCATTAGATATTAGCCATCACAAATTAATGGTGATTGTAAACTTGTCTGTAACATCTGCAAGCAAGCAATGTCTGCTGTAACAGGACAAATTTCTAATTTTTGCTTGCAGAGATGCAACAGAGAGCACTGCAAGGTGCTGTTCATCACTGTGGCACTGGAAGTCACATCAAAAATAATTACAAGTGCCACTGACCCTATATTACTGGGTAGGGGCCCCTGAGCATCCTATATTACAGGGTAGGGGCCCTTGAGAACCCTATATTACAGGGTAGGGGCCCCTGAACACCCTATATTACCGGGTAGGGGCCCCTGAGCACCCTATATTACCGGGGAGGGGCAATGAGCACCCTATAATACTGGGTAGAGGCCCCTGAGCACCCTATATTACAGGGCAGAGGCCTCTGAGCATCCTATATTACTGGGTAGGTGCCTCTGGCCACCTGTGTTACTGGATAGGGGCTTGGTGAATTGCCATTCTCAATCATTAATTTCATTGTCAGCAGGGTGAAAAGTAGTAATAATTGGGCTTTGGAAATGGCCAATTTCCTGGGCCCATAAAGTTGCCAAATGACTGACACTCTGATCAATGGAAGCAGACAATGGGCCAAGGAGACTGGATATCTTGTGGGCCCATTATTTTTTACAGTTTACCGCTGTCTATGGGGTAAGAGATGGGGTAGAGGTCAATTACTGTCTGCTAACAACCTATAAGTGGCTACCACACTACTCTGGAAGCTATTAACAGTAGTATGAGCTGGTAATTACCAGTCACTAATGGTGAAATCGGGCTTTTCTGATACTACTCACTAAGGTTAGTCCCAGCTTACACTTATATTACCTCTATGCCACCGAATTTAGATGTAAAACTTACAACTCTCTCCCTTCACAAATATACTCCCCCGTGAATGTGCCCATCCATACCCGCAATACTTTGTGTGTGGATACCCACTAGCAACTGAGGAATGTCGCATGCATAACTGCTAAAAAGCAAACATGTAAATAAACTATATGTACACTTTAAATTAGCAAAATGCATAAACTAAATGTTATTCTCTATGAAGTGATATCATTTTTGCACGAAAGACACACGCTAAATCTTATATCAGTTCCATTTATCAGTTCCATAGCTGATATTTACATATTTTTGTAATATTTTTGGTCTACAATCTCACATCTATTTTCTGGTAAAACAATTATGTACATGGGGACATCAATTAATTTAGTCAATGTATATTCATAAAAATATATTTTTTCCTATTCATATTAATTTTTTTACATCAGATATATTTTTTTAATTAAAGGACCACTATAGTGCCAGGAAAACAAGCTTGTTTTCCTGGCACTATAGGGTCATTAGGCCCCCCCCCACCCTCAGGGCCCCCCTCCCGCTGGGCTGAAGGGGTTAAAAGCCCTTCAGCCACTTACCTTT